CACACACACACACACACACACACACACACACACACACACACACACAAAACAAGGTGCATGTCAGGTGTTGAGAAACCAGGACACCTTGATGAGAAGTGGGCTACTGGAACAATATGGCATAAGTGGGAAAGAGAAGAAAATAGGGCGCTGTTGATTTCGAAACAGCTAGGAGCTCAGTATTTCAACATTCAGAAGAAGGAACTGCTCTCACAGCTAGAGATTGACAAGGTACAAAACAAATGTTATGGCAAGGGGGAGCCTGGACAACATGTCAGGGGGATCAAGTATCGGAGCTGCAGAGAGGTGCAATGGAGAAGGTGCCTAAGACGTACAGCAAGCTGTCCATACTGGAGGCCTTGGAAACTGCCAAGCAAAGATTCACAGCCTTGGCCAGCCACTTGACAAGGTACACCAGAGAAATAGAAAGCAGGAGAATGAACCAGCTGTTCTCTGCAGAACCATCCAAAGTGTACTCTCAGTGGCAGGGGAACAGTATGAGAACAATATGAGAACAGCACCAACAAAGCTGGAGACTGGAAAATACTGAAAGAACATATATGAGAAGGATGCAACTCATAACAGCAATGCTCAGTGGCTAGTGGATCTAGAAGCAGACCACAGGAACCTCCATGAACAGGGTCCAGTAACCATCACAGTGGCAGACATCCAAGAAAGGGTCTCCAGTATGAAGAGTTGGACAGCACCAGGCCCCGACATGGTTCACACCTAATGGATGAAGAAGCTGACTGCACTCCACAAGCGTCTGGCAGCACAAATGAACCAGCTGCTTGTCGATGAGAGACACCCAGAATGGCTAACTGAAGGCCAGGCAATCCTGATCCCCAGAAGCGACCGGTCCCATCTGGCCAATAACCTGCCTCAGTACCACCTGACAGTCATCATAGTGGCTAAGATGAACAGGCATATGGCTCAATACATGAGCGGGGCACAGAAAGGGATTGGCAAGAATACCAGAGGCGCAAAACACCAGCTACTGGGAGACAGACCAGTCACACCAGACTGCAAGATGAGGCTGACTAACGTGTGCACTACCTGGATTGATTACAAGACGGCCTATGACTTAATGCCCCACAACTGTATCCTGGAATGCCTAGACCTATACAAGATCAACAGGACCCCAAGATCCTTCATCAGGAACTCAATGGGGATGTGGCGTACAACACTAGAGGTCAACTTTAAGTCCATAGCACAAGTCAGCATCAAGTGCGGGATCTACCAAGGAGATGCTCTGTCCTCACTGCTGTTCTGCATAGGCCTGAACCCCCTCAGTGAAATCATTGACAAGACTGGCTACGGATACTGACTACGGAGTTGAGCAGTTGTTAGCCACCTCCTCTACATGGATGACATCAAGCTGTATGCCGATTCACTGATCCACACCACCAGGATATACAGCAATGACATCGGAATGTTGTTCGGATTGGAGAACCTGGTACCTGGGAATCCCACAGGCAAATGGGAACAACGAGGAGCCCGTTAGGAAAGATGCAAACACCAAGTACCTGCAGAAGGTCAGGCAAGTCTTGAAGAGTCAGCTGAATGGTAAGAACAAGATCCTGACACCAAGACCAGGATGCTCCTGACCATGCTTGGAGGGTTTCACTCCAAGTCCAGCACCCTGAGGCTGTATGCTAAGTGGAAGGAAGGAGGCCAGGGACTGGTGAGTGTCAGTACCACAGTCCACGATGAGACAACAAAAATCCTTGAGTACATCAAAAAGACAGCCACAACTGACTGTGTGCTCAGTGAATATCTTAGGCAGCAGAAACCCAAGAAAGAGGAGGAACCATCATGGAAGGACAGGACCCTGCACAGTATGTACCACCGACAGATAGAGGAAGTGGCTGACATCCTACCAGTGGCTGGACAAAGCTGGACATTTAGACTGGTTGGGCAAACTCACGTGCATCCTTGAATATCCTTGAGTGGATAAAGAGGAGTTCTAAGACAAGGAACGAAACTGCTTTGTTCCTCCTGAATCTAAGGTTCAACAAACAGATGGACTCCCCTCTCCAGTCCTGGCATAGATTTTCCCACTGTGATCCCCCTATAATTGGAGCATAATCTCTTGTCCTCTTTCTTAAATATGGGAACAACTACCCCAATCTCCCATTTTAAAGGCACCACTCCAGACCTCCACAGAACATTGCAAAAAAACATGGCAGCCAGGACAGCTATAGCATGGCAATACGATGCTATGAACAGCTAATAAATAAATGATTTGTTCTTAAATTTACAAATAGTGAAGCCATTATTTAGAAATTATGAAAACACCTTTCATCAAACAGGTTGTATATTAAGTTATTAATTAAGAATAAAAATGTCATACCTGTGTTTTTTTAAATGCACACTGATGTAATGAACTATTTACTTAAACACTTACTGAATGAGCCCGATGTTAGGAAACACCCCAGTAATCATGGGAAAACTAACAATGATCAAGATGTAAGCATGTTACGACATGTTTTCTGAGGACAAGCTTGGCTTCATCTCTGCAACCTTCGAAGGTTAACTAATTAATCTCTCGAGTATCAGAATGGATATGGATTGCATCTGAGTGCTGATTGGTATATTCAGAATATTGGCATTGTACACCAAGAAAACTGGTCTGTTCTCTGGCCTTTCCTGGGTTTATAGCTTAGTTAGTCCCTTTTTGATCTATTTCCTCCTCTACAGGGTTTAATGTCCTTAAGGACTCCCTGAGGTTCTAGAAAGCTAGAGTAATCTATGAAAAGTATGCTCACAGTTTTCACAACCATAATAATTTATATGTTCTGCATAAGACACTGGGTCAGCTTCCCTATAACTTTGGGGTCCATGGTTTGGCATTTTGTCAGGTTTGAAATTAGGCACAAGGCATGGCTTGGGACGTTTAGAATTTCCTCTTCTATGCAATTTAGGATTAAGTGCTTACCTCCAGACCCAACTCCTTGGTTGGAGAAGCCTGGCAAACAGGCACTGGGGAGTAGGGGCTCAGTGGACTGGTAAGGCTTACTGAGCTCAGTGGGCTTGCTGGACTATTGGTGGTAAAGGACCCTGATGCACCACTGTCAACTGAAAAGAGAAACAAACTTAAAGTGTCAGGAAAAGGCCATTAGATAGAAGGTAGAAACACAGGCCATTATGTTCAAGATTAGTTTAGTTTCTTTTACCTCTACCCTTGGCTGTTTTTATGCCTCTGGATAAGCTGTTCTTTTGTAGACCTTCTAATACATCCTGGACTCTCCAAAACTCTTTTTGGATGTGCCGCCGAACTAATTCACTCTAAAAAGAAATTACAAGGAAAAATAGCAGAAATTAGACCCTAATACTAATAACAGTCAGGTCCATTTATTAATTTCAGTTATGTGGAAAGAATGTGGAATTGGTGTTCCCCCGGATAAGCTGGAGGAGGTGGCTGGGGAGAGGGAGGTCTGGGCCTCTTTGCTTAGGCTGCTGCTCCCGCGACCCGGCCCCGGATAAAGCGGATGAAGATGGATGGATGGATGGATGGATGGATGGAAAAAAATAACTACATGTCATCGAAATTGCTGGCATTTTTTTTTGTTTCATTTTAACAAAAAAAGAGGAAAAAACAAACAAAATCTGTTGTTATGGAATCATTAAAGGATTAGATATATATAAAATATATGATAGCAGACCTCCACTAAGATAGCAGAGAATATCATTCTGAGTACTTACTTCGCATGCACTAGTATTTGTAATATACTCATTTTGTTTTCTTTGTTTTTTCTAAATGTTGTTTAAAAAGTTTGTAGTGGTAGTGGTAATCTTTGGTTACACAAAGATTACGTAGAAGTAATGGATAATAGGTTTTTGTACTTTTCTTGATATATATCTTGTGTTTTTTGTTTAGCGTTGCCCTGTTTAGTTTTGATAATTTTTCTCAGTCTCCCCATGACTGTTTGTTTTTTTGTTCAGCCAGAAATAAACGGCTCTCTTTTTGTTTGCTCCATTTCTGTCTCCATTTATCTGCCTTTGGGTCCACACACTCCACTCCACGCCGTCAGCTACAGCAGACATGAAACATCCCAATGGCATTCAACTCTGGATAATATGGCTCTTCGGAAAGAAGACTCAAATCAGGCTCGACTCCCTAAAATAACTCTCAAAGGCGCATTTTATGAGCTGGAGAGGAATGGCATCTCACTAGTTTAGAAGATGATCGTTTAGGCTGGAAAGAGTTTGCTCCTCCATAAAGCTCACTAAGTCACTGACTTAAGAAAATAAGAGGTTTATTTTCAGAGTCATAGCTCTGTTAAGCCAAGCATTCCTTTAACCTTAACCAGTAACAACTTTATGAATTTCATTACACAAAGATTTTTAACCGTTAGAGAATCATTTATTCATAACATCTGACTGCTCAAAGAAATACTACCATAAATTAATGCTTTAATCATATAAAGGCGCTCAATCAGTCCCTATTACTGGGCTGCATACCACAGGCCTTTAAGGTGGCAGTGATTAAACCATTACTTAAAAAGCCATCACTTTACTTAACTGTCTTAGCTAGTTAAAGGACATTCTCTAACTATCCTTTTATCAGAAAAATTCTTGAAATAGCAGTCATAAAACAGCTAACTGCTCATCTGCAGAGGAACTATTTATTTGAAGAGCTTCAAAAAGGCAGAAACATGATTACTGAAGATCACAATGATCTTCTTATGGCCTCTGACAGTGGACTTACCGTGTGCATGTTTTACTTGACCTCAGTGCAACTTTAGATACTGTTGATCATTGCGTTTTATTACAGAGCATGTCACAGGTATTAAAAGGTACTGTGCTACAATGGTTTGAATCATATCTATCTGATATACTCAAATTTGTTCATATTAATGTGGAGTCCTCTTCATACAATGAGGTCAATTACAGAGTTCACAGGCTTATGTGCAAGGATATGTTCTATTTAAATTATACATGCTTCCCATCTTATCTTAAAGACCTCATAGTCTACCACTTTGTTCTTAGACTGCTGGCTTACTTGTCATGGTACTCCAGTCCTTCTGTGTGTCCACTTTGCCCTAATCTCCTCCTGTGCACATATTTTCTGCCTCTCCCTCTGTTTTAATCAGGTTTGTACAGTTGTTGTTGGGTTGGGACCTTAGTTACACTACAGTGCAACATGTCACAATTAAAAGCTAATCTTTAGCTATTAGCAGTCGCTTATTGACAAAGTAGTTCACTTTTTGCTGGAATCTCCTGCTCTAATTACATCCCGCCATCTATTTTCTGACCATGACAATTATACCTTCTTCCATCTCATCCTCACTCTGTTGTTGGGACTGCTAATCCAGAATTCAAAATTGTGCTCCTCACATACAAGGTCTTAAATAATCAGGCCCCATCTTATCTTAATGACCTTGTAGTACCATATCACCCTATTAGAGCACTTTGCTCTCACACTGCAGGCTTACTTGTTGTTCCTAGAGTATTTAAAAGTAGAATGGGAGGCAGAGCCCACAGTTTTCAGGCCCCTCTTCTGTGGAACCAGCTTCCAGTTTGAATTCAGGAGACAGACACTATCTCTACTTTCAAGATTAGGCTTCAAACTTTCCTTTTTGCTAAAGCATATAGTTAGGGCTGGACCAGGTGACCCTGAATCCTCCCTTAGTTATGCTGCAATAAATGTAGGCTGCTGGGGGATTCCCATGATGCATTGGGTGTTTGTTCTTCATTCACTATGTGTTAATAGACCTCTCTGCACTGAATCATACTCGTTATTTATCTCTGTCTCTCTTCCGCAGCATGTCTTTATCCGGTCTTCCTTCTCTCACCCCAACTGGTCGCAGCAGATGACCCCGCCCCTCCCTGAGCCTGGTTCTGCTGGAGGTTTCTTCCTGTTAAAAGGGAGTTTTTCCTTCCCACTGTCACCAAAGTCCTTGCTCATAGGGGGTCATATGATTGTTTTTGTTTTTTTCTCTGTATGTATTATTGTAGGGTCTACCTTACAATATAAAGTGCCGTGAGGCCACTGTTGTTGTGATTTGATGCTGTATAAATAAAATTGAATTAAATTGAAAATTCAATTATCCATTCTCTGGCACTTCTTGGGATTGCGAGGGCTGGTTACTAGTTGTTGCTGGTACTGTTGACAGTGCAGCAGCAGCCCTGACACCTGACTGTCAGTGAATATGAGAGTTTGCTGCATCTATTTCTATTTTCTTTTTCTCTCTCAGCTTTTCAGCTCCACCTTTTTGTGTTTGTTCATCTTTATCAACCACTTCTCCCCCACTAAACTCTGTTCCACAAGGTGCACCCAGGGAAGGTAAAGGAGGGGCCGGTAACATAAAGAGATTAGATTAGGAAATCAGTGTCAGAAATTACAATGAACAAATGGGCTGCAAGTGCTTGTAGGACTGGTGAGCAGCGGACTCTGTTTTAAAGTGAGATTTAGGTTTAGGTGTTGATATTACTGGATTTTTATCAATTGAGAGAGTCAATAAAACGTTGTTTAGTTAATAATTAGAAACTGGCAGAAAAAGCAGGCTCACTTTGCTTAATTTAAACGTTCCAAATTAATCACAAAATGTGCATATCCTGCATATCTGGCTTTTTTCAATTTAATCTCATTTTTTCCATTCCAGAGGCTAATTTAACAGTGACAAACTTGTTAAATTAGCCTCTGGAATTACTTATATGTAATTCACACAAGCTTAATATTTAAAATTGTTTTCCAGTGTCACTTTGACACAAATCAACAGAATGTAGCCAGCCAACCTCCTTTGACCTAAGGTTGCAAAAACCCTATAATAGCCAGTTGCTGTAAAAATATTTAATCAGATTTTTAGATTAATAACTTATATCACATCAAAACCTCTGCTGTCTTGTTTTCGTTTTTTGTTTTGTTGTCATCATTAAAAATCATTCAAAACAGACAAATAAAGAAAAAATGACAGTTACTACAAATCAAAAAAAGTAGATGGTGGTGGCTGGCTGAATAATTGTGACTAGATAATCTCTTACTGTAAAATAACCAAAAAATAATGATTAATTAAAAAAAGGGGGGGGGGGGGATTACAGATATGATGATATTGTTCAATTCAATTTCAATTAAATTTTATTTATATAGCGCCAAATCACAACAAAAGTCGCCTCGAGGCGCTTTATATTAATAATAATATTAATAATATATGTATTATATTACATTGTGACCTTTTACCTGTCCTCCAGCATTAAGCTGCTCCCACAGGTCTCCATGGATGGCATTGGCCTCATCCTCTAATGCTTCAAACTCCATGCAAGCAGTTGTTAAAGCCTGAGAGACATACCAAAAAAAAAAAATAGTATTATTTATACTGTCAGCAATATTCAGACTGTTTGATTTAGACATATAATAAATAGAACATTTAATGAGCAGATGTACATTGCACAATCACGTGGAGCTGTGCATTTTTTGAAATACAGACAAGTTACTGAACTCACACTGGAGGCCTGGGAGAGCTCCCCTCTGATGTTAATCAGCTGGTTCTGCTGAGTTTCCTTTTTGAACTGCAGCTTTTCCATGATTAAAGGCTGGTTATGGTATATCTCCATTTCCTGATGAGTAGCCAACAGTGCTTCCTCTAGGCTGTCCTGGTAACAGCAAGTGTTTTGTTGAAAATTAGTTTTTCTGCTTATTTAGTAAATAGACAGTGCACTGCAACATCCCTGTTGATCTATTTAAGAGAACATACACATTTCATCTAAATATTCGGATGTAAGGTTATAATGGTTTCACATAAATAAATGAGTGAAATTATTAGCTACGATACATGCTAACTGACCAGAAGAAACACTACATTGTGCACTAATTTAACGCAAGAGTCAGAAGACGTTGATTCAACTCTGTGGTCATTAATTGTGCTGTAGTTAGTGGGGTTGTTGTATTGGAACAATTCAGCCTCACCGCAGGGAGTAAAACTACTTGGTTAGGGTTAGAAAAAAATCATGCTTTGGGTTAAAACACAACAGATAACACTTTTTTCAAAGCTTGCCAGAGCGACGCATCCCCTCAGAATCCACATAGGCACGAGACATTCCTCCAGTTGAAATACATTTGTTTCAAAGTCGTGCTGACTGTAATGAAAAAAGAGGCCAGGGTGGTGAAAAACAAAACAACTTTCAGTGTAAAGAGGTCCCGTACAACAACACCACAAAATACAGCTTGAAGTCACCACAAATTAAGTGTTGACTAAAGGTAAGGTTGTATTAATAGCTAGGTTGTTCTAATGTACTGAGTTAAATTGCTTTCCTCTGATATATAAAGTATATTATCTTCAAATATGGTTAGGACAAATAAGGCTTTATGGGTTTCCTTTACCATGACAGTAGTACATTGCTGTGTTCAGTAGCTATTAAAAAACTCCAGTGATTTCATAGTTTTATACTAATACCCTAAATTTGGCCATCTTCACAGGACGAAGCGTTTCTTAAGAATTTCACAATAAAATGTCACATTTCCGAGGAAAATTGTGTACCTTATTCATTCTCAGTCTGTGGACAACTGCCTCATGGTCTTTCAAAATCTGGTTCTGCTCACATAATCGCCCCAAGAGCTTCTGTGTAACAAGGAGTGGTTATTTTGTGAATTTGAGAGACACCAGGAAGGACATATAAAACTAAGACAGGACAGCAGTGTGTATATGTCAGTAAAAAATATACAGCATAGTATATATGTGCACAAAAACATCACATTTGTATGCAATATGTGACTCTTAATCTGCTACCCCTTCTAGTTTCAACCACTAAACTGAGTAGCAACTGATTTAAGACATTTAATAAATAGGGTTACTGTAATTATATTTTTTATTGTTTTGCTTACAATGTTCACCCTCATGCAAAAACTAGGAAAACTATATTGTAAATATATTATTGTGGACTTCTTGATGCATTCTCAATCATCCAGGAAAGTAAATCTCCAAAAGTTGATTCTGTTCATCTGGACGTAGCGTTTTCAAAAACGCTACATCCAGATGAACAGAATCAACTTTTGGAGATTATTGTGGACTGTAAAGTTGAGATTAGGTTCCTAGTCTACAGGACATACAAACATGGGGAAATGAGTGCTCACATACTTCTCACCATGCACTGTATAAAAAAATAAAAAGCACATCATTTGGGTGTGAATGCAAAACTCTTACACTGGTTTCGATCTCATTGAGTTTCAGTGTAGGATGCAGTTCTCTGTAGTTTATATCCTGGAAAGGAGGCACCTGTAAAAAATGATTTGCCTGTCATTATCAATCAGAGACTGTATACTGTTCCACTGAGACGAAAACATAAAATATATATTCTGGTCTTTATTAAAGTAATGTAAAGCCCAATTACATCTTTACATTGAAATAAAATCTCAATGATTCTATTTATTCACAAAATTATTGAGATCAATGGTTATGTTCTTTTCTGAGATCAACAGTTCCTGTACTGTTAAACTTGACTAAATTGAGCAGTAACAGTTTTCAATCTAGTCAACATGACATTAAAATTACATACCAACAAAAACAAACAAAACCAACAAGTACATAAAATAAAACAAAATCATAAATTTCCACTTTTTTCTAAAAATTTCAATTCACCCCTTTAAAAGGGTGATAAATAATTAGAAAGCAAACAGTAATGTCAAGGTTGAGCTTAAACATAAGCAATTCAGAAGTGTGAGAGAAAAAAGTAAAACAACATGTGACCACATTAACGAAACCAATATTTCAAATTATGGGATCCCCGATAATCACAGCAGAAGGGGTAAAAAGACGAGCGTGACACGGATTGCTTTTGGATTGACTAAATCCTGTTTGTGTTGTGGGGTGGTGACATTAAGATTGTAAGTAACAAATCTGTATCGCAACCAATGTTCTGGCCACACACGAGAGTGTTTGATATATTTTGGGACTACGACTATAAATAATTAGCAGTTTTCACAACTGTGGCTCAAATATCCTGCCAAGTGCAGCATTCAGTTATGTTGAATTCACTCTAGAGATCTTCTTGTCACTATGCTTGCACATTTTAATTTTAATGCCATACATGCCAGTGAATCAGACCTGAATTCAGCTGATTCTCCATGTATATCTTCAGTGAAATCTCAGCTGCAGGGGAGGGGTTGAGTGTACAATAAAATAAGCAGTCACCATTATTCCTTAGTGCTAGTGGTGCTGAAACCCAGTAGTGTGATGACAAATCGATGACCTCCACAACAGTTGGAGGTAGTGATGGGATTTCCAGCTCTTTTTAGAGAACCGGCTCTTTCGGCTCGGCTCACTAAGAAGAGCCGGCTCTTTCGGGTCCCAAGCGGCTCTTCAGATTGTTTTGTTGCTTTAATTTATTATTAACAACAATATAAAATTATGCAGAAAAGGAATTAGTAATGTAAAAAAAATGTGGTTTTATTTGTGTATGCTTATATATAAATATATACGGTGGCCCCTTGAAACAAAGCACGTACAAATCCCAAAGCACGTACAAACTCCAAAACACATTTCTAGCGTTAACTGAACTTCCAAAACAGAGCTACCTAGATCACTTAAATTACACAATTAAAAGCATATGTGTATTGTTTGTGTATTTATACACAAGCACTCATATATATTCAAATAATTCAAAAACTTTTCATTTACCTGTTACTACCACACACCAAATCCAGTCGTTGCTACTTCCTGGCTTGTGTAGCCACTAGGTAACAAAAGCTCAACACTGCGCCTAGCATCATGGAGCACTTCTGTTGTGTTTTGTATGTGCTTCGGAGTTTGTACGTGCTATGGAGTTTTTACGTGTTTTGGTGTTTGTACGTGCTTCAGGGTTTGTACGTCCTTCAGAGTTTGTACGTGCTATGCAGTTTGTACATGTTTTGGAGTTTTTACGTGTTTTGGTGTTTGTACGTGCTTCAGGGTTTGTACGTCCTTCAGAGTTTGTACGTGTTTTGGAGTTTTTATGTGCTTCGGGGTTTGTACGTGCTTCGGAGTTTGTACGTGCTATGAAGTTTTTACGTGTTTTGGAATTTTTACGTGCTTCGGGGTTTGTACTTGCTTCGGAGTTTGTATGTGCTATGGAGTTTTTACGTGTTTTGGAGTTTCTACGTGCTTCGGGGTTTGTATGTGCCGTAAATATACTTTAAATATACTTTTGTTTATTCACTCCACATAAAATGTTAAAAAGAAATCATATAATACAAAAACCAACTATTTACATTTCAACTTTTAACTATTTAAATTTTCAGATTTTTCCTTTTAAACAAATTTAAAGTAAAACAACATAAAACACTGCAAGTCACAACACAATTAAATATAAATTAAAATATAAAAACAAAAAGAAGATGTACATTCTCTGTCATATGGGCCTGCATGAATAAACTTTCTGAATCCTTTATCATCCGCAACTGAAAATAGTTGTGGACCATTACTATACCTTTTTAATGTGACGTTGTTGTCACTGGCTCTCTTTCTCTATCTCTCCCTCCCACTCTGTTCCTGTGCTACTAAGAGTGTAACTACCAGCCCTCCCCCCTCTTCCCAGCGCAAAGCACAGGTCGCGTGCGAAGTGAAGCGGAAAAAAAGTTCAAGAGAGAGGGTGAGAGAAAGAAGAAAAAAAAACCCACGGCTCGCGTCGTTCACTTCAAAGACCCGGCTCTAAGAGCCGTTTCGTTCGCGACCGACACATCACTAGTTGGAGGTGCTAGTCCAGACAGTGGTGGAACTGCCAGCTATACAACTTCAAGCAGGCGGCAGCGAATTGCCGATGGCTGGACAGGGTTAAAAAATTATTCAAAAGGAATGACTGGCCATTGGGGCGAGGGAGCTGGAAGGAGGTGTTGGCCGTCCGATTGGGATCTGGGATGCGGGGCCTCCCTGCTGCTGCGGAGCCTGGGACGGTCTGCTTGCTTCCACCCTGGGGGAAAGGGTAAAATCTCCTGGGTCTAGATGCCAAGGTGTTGGAAATGATTTTCCGTCTGTTAGTCGATACAAGAGGGAAAATGCGGTTTTAATACTGGACAAGCCCTTCATGCTATGGAGGATACTTGATGGGGCATGTGAGTTTGCCCAACCAGTCTGCATGTGTTTTGACTTGGAGAAGGCATTTGACCACATATGACAGGTGCTTCAGGAGTATGGGTTGTCATTCAAACCTTATACAACCATTGCAAGAGTTTGGTACGCATTGCTGGCAAGACCCTGGTGGTGACCAAGGGCCAGCGCTGGTCCACCAGATGACGGGGTTCTGTTGGCTTCATCAAGTGATGGCCTCCAACTCAAACTAGAGCAGCAGCGGGTATGAGAATCGGCCCCGGAAGGGTCGAGTGCCTACTCCGGGTCAGGGATGAGTTCCTGCCCCAAGTAGAGGAGTTTAATTATCTCAGGGTTTTTTTCATGCGTGAGGAGAGAAGAGAGCGGGGGATTGACAGACAAATTGGTGCGGCTGCTGCAGTGATGCGGATGCTGTGCCGGTCTGTTGTGGTGAAGAGATATCTGAGCGTAAAAGCGAAGCTCTCAATTTCTTGGTTGGTCTACATCCCTACCTTTACCTATGATATGAGCTTTGGGTAGTGACTGGAGAGATCTCTCAGCTGGCCTGGGAAGGCCTTGGTGTTCCCCTAGAAAAGAGGCTGGAGGAGGTCTGGCCTTCTCTACTTAGGGTGCTGCCCCCGCGGCCCAGTCCAGGATAAGTGTAAGAAAATGGATGGATGGATGGAATGAATAATGGCCCGATTTCATTGGCCGGGGATTTGGGAGGACATGCACCAGTGACGCTGTAACTTAGGTGGTAAAGCAGGTCGCCTACTAATTATTGGTTCAGATACTAATCCTATGTTGCTCTCTGATGCATCCATCGGAGTATGAATGCATCTGAATGTTAGATAGAAGGCACTTACATAGAAATAGCATATTAAAAAAAAGTGCTTATGTGAAGCAAGATGTGTAAACCGCTTTGAATGCTCAGAGTAGAAAAGCGTTATATAAGAACCAGTCCAGTCCATTTGGTGTGCATCGTACTCTGACTGTGAGCTGGTGAACCAGTGGGCCATTTCAAAAACACCCAGTAGTGTTAAGGGTACTCTCATTCAAGCGCACTGGCATGGACCAGCATGAGGACTACTGTTCCCTTCACGGTCTTTTTGAACTCCTCTCTCTTTGTTATTTCTCAAGTTTCTCATGTTCCTACTTCCTAGTGTTTCTATCATTTGGTATAGCTACATCTATCACTGGTGTCATCCTCCTCTGCTTGTCCACCTCTACTATGTCCGGTTGATTAGCCATCAGCTGTTTATCAATTTGTATCTGGAAGTCCCACAGGATCTTAGGTTGGTCAATCTCAACTACCCTTGGGAGGCAAGACAAGGGTAGTTTGACCTCTGGACCTCCAGGCCATACCCAGCACAGATATCCCTGTATACTATGCTAGTTACTTGGTTAGGGCATTTCATGTATTCCCTACTTGCGATTATCTTGCGCCCTGCTGTTACTTGCTTGTCTTGGGGGAATCTCTGCACAGCCTGCACCTGGGATCTTTTGCTTAGAGTATGTTCCTGTGCTGTCTTGATTATTTCCTCTGTGCTTTCTTTGAGTCTAGCATTCTCTAGCCATTGTAGGATTTCTTGACATCAGCTATGTCTTCTATCTGCCAGTGGTAGATGCGGTGCACAGACCTGTCTTTCCATAATAGTCCCCTTCTTGCTCCTCTGCATGTGCCTGTTCATGCTAACTACTATGATGCCTGACAGGAGCTTCCATGTTGAGCTGAAGGTTATTTGTCGGTAGTTGGATGTGACCGGTGCAATATGGGGATCCGTGGGTATCAGGACTGTCTGTCTTTCAGTTAGCCATTCTCTGTGTATCTCATCCATTAGCGGCTGGTTCATTTGTGCTGAGAGACATTTGTGGAGTGTAATTAGCTTTGTTAACCAGTAGGTTAGAATCATGTCAGGGCCTGGTACTGTGTAACTTTTCATGCTTGAGACACTTTCTTGGAGATGTCTGCCACTGTGATGGTTACTAAATCCTTTTTAGGGATGTTACTGTGGTCTGCCACTTGCCACTAAGCAAGAGAACAAAAACAATTTTTGGATAGATTAAACAAGATTCCGGTACAAGATTATCTGGTATCTGATTGATGGGAAGAGAAAAGTATGGAGAACTAAAGGAACAACATTATCTTTCCAACATGTTGCAGGTGTTATGGCATGGACATGTATGGCTGCATTTGGAAGCAGGTCACTACTGATGATGATAATGATGTGACTGCTGATTGAATTGGCAGGATGAATTCTGAGGTTTACACGGCTATGCTCTCTGGCGGTTCAAACCTTCAGGTACAGAAACAGCCAAGTATTAAGCATTTAGTATAGTTACTTATAAACCCCTGAAAATGTGGGACTATGGCTGGAAACAGTTAATTCAGTACTTTTGTTGAAGGTCTTGAAGCCTTTACTTCATTTTTTCTTATTTAAAATTCCCTGTTGTTATGTACAGAGACATAAATTACACAAATTGTGTCAATGCCCAAACTTTTATGGGCCTAACTGTAGGTGGACAGCAGCTATCATAACCAGAACTGTGCACTTAAGATGAGCATATTAAGGACATCCCAACTTGTTGGTGTCAAAAAATTTCAAATACAGTGAAACCCCGACATACAAATACCCCGTTTCACAAAAAATTCAAGTTACGAAGGCACTGAACGTCAATATTTTTGCCCGTGTTACGGCAAAATGCCCGAGTAACAAAATACGCTGGCTCTGATTGGCTGAGCCTACAATGCTCACAATGCCTTTCGAATCATGTGACAACCCCTTGGCTTCCGTACTTGCGCTTCGCTGTTCCACTTGAATGACATATTGTTTTTCTAGTTAGCAATTAGCCTATAGCCTATCGTGCAGCATCGCCTCAGTCAAAACGCGCGATGGATGCTTCGACTTGTGAAAATTTTTGATTTAAGAAAGACCCTCGGGAATGAATTAATTTCGTAAGTCGGGGTTCCACTGTAATTCAAAGCATAAATAAAAATGGGAGTTTTCATGTATGTAATCTCCAAAGTCTGTATCCCACATTACACAGCCAATACATTAATTTGATTTTGACTTCAATAAGAAATGAAGGTAGGCAACACATTAAATTAGGCTGACTATTTAAGACACTATACCATACAAAAAGAGCAAAATAAATGACATTTTGTTGTTATGGTGGTGTTATAAATACTTTTAGTCTCAACTGAAGCCTGCCTCCTCAGGGGCTGCTACTTTCCTTACTTCTACTTTGTTGTTGAGGGTGAGTGCTCGAAAAAATTGGGGACCATCCCAAATCGAGAGCTTTCCCTGAGTAACTGAAGCTTGGATTATAGACCAGAGAAGAAAGTTGTATGACAGGACAACTGGAACAATATTTGAACTGTTATAAAGGAATCATATTTTCGAAGTTAATGGACAGCCAAAGATACTCTATACAAGAGAAGCACACAAAAAACATAGAAAAGAGATTTTAAAGGGCAGTAAAGTAGGTAAGAACTGTCAAGAATTATGAAAAATGGTGTGTATAAAGTATTTATTGGCAAACACTACTGTATGTTTCCTCCTACCTGTTGATCTAGGTAATCCAGGTTGCGCTGGAGCTGAAAATCTAATATATCCTCCTGAATCAAGCAGCAGCATTGGTGGCAAGCGTGGAAATCAAAAAGACAAATATTGTATAGATAGCAACTCTTTATCTTATTATTTTGATCTTATGATGTATTGTTTTAATAAATGCATATGCAATAAATATATATTTGTAAAGTTCCTTTAAAAACAAGACCAAAATGTGAAAGTCATCCTTAATGTCCCCTTTGCATATCATTCCTAGTTTATTTTTCACAATCACAAATACAGTGTATTAATGGTACCCAATCATTGCTTATTATCAGTAGTTACCCAAAGCCAAGGTAACCAAAATGGATCAGACATCTCTACTTGGACATACAGATAAATAATGCCAGACCCCACAGCTGACAGCATTTACAATACAAAGTTACATATGCCACAGCATGAAGTGCATTAAGTACAATTTACATACTTTTGCAGCACATACCATTTTACTGTGAACAGAAGGGGAAACAGGGTAGTTGTGGTGGTATAATCCTTGGTTTAATGATCTCCTATCACCATGGTAGTTATACTAAAGGCAGTAGGGAAGAGAACATAGAAAGAAGAAAGGACAAAATAGAAGTAAGGTGAGTGAGAGTGTCAGAGTGGTGTTAGATGAATATGGTGTCACTATATCAAAACTGGAGAGTCTTGATTTTATCCCTGCTGACTTTCTGTATTGATAAATGTTATTCAAAGACTTATCAAACATTAGTTTCTCAAAGCTACACACAAACACAGTAAACCGGTTCACCTTTGGGGAGCTGAAAGATCTTCTCAGACTGTAGACTGGTGGATAGATTGCATCTTCATTCATCCTCCCTGAAAACCGGTCAAAACCATTGGATAGTGATCGAGCAGGTGAGGCATAGGTGCATGACGCTGGTGAATAGGGCCGCCTCGATGATGAGGATGGTGATCTGGGCACAGACTTGGAGCGTGGCTGAATAAACAGGCTCCTCATGGATGTTTCCATTCCACCATAGTACTGTGGCCCCCATTGGTCTTGGGGCATCTGTTTCCTGTACAACCGGTGGGGTTCATCCCTCAGAGAGTGTTGCTTTTGCTCAATAGTCCATAGTCTGTCATAGCCCCCCACAGCAGACATAGAGCAGATGCTGTCTGGTCGGACCCCTGGTAGGTACAAAGAGTATTCGTCCACAAAGTTATAGTAGCCAGCTGAGACTTCTTGGTTCACAGAATAGTAAGAGGGTGGCCTGAAAGCACAGGAAAAATTAGAGAATATTTCCGACATGAAAAACTATTTGAATGTGTGAAAGTTTATCTTGGTCTAGTTCTTCTTTAAGAAACACAATAGGATAAAGACTAAAATTACATTTTTCCCTTTTTAAAATACACATTAATTTTTATATATATACATTACATTTTCATAAAACAAATCAAATTAAGTCTTTCTAGAAACACAGAAAGGAAACTTACTCATGAAATAGCAGTTATAGACAAACAATACAAAACAGAAAAGATGAAAATAAAAACAGTTGAAAGGTTTTATTTAATTATAGGATCTTTGAAATTAGTGTGATAATATTTTTTTGGGATTAAATAAGAAGTGTGAATAATTTGGTTAGTGCCAAAGGTGTCTGAAAACTATAGAAAATCATTTGAGAACCAACACTTCTTCAAACAGCCTTACAAAACAAGTTGTGCACTGCTTTAATATTTGTTTTTGAAAGGTTTTCTATTCCATTAATATAATCAACAATAATGTATATAATCTGTATTTCTGATAGTTTACATTATTAGTGTGCACGTAATTCAATGATCACTGTGCCAGTGTAAAATCATAGTAAATAACTTATAATATTTGAAGACCTGGAGACACAAAGAGCAGTTATATTTCTTCTCTTCTATATTGAGCTACCTGTTGATGTCTTCTTGCGAGGCCATGCCCCGCCGCTGGTTGACCCACTGTTGCAGTTGAGCCATTGAGCACTTTCTTTGGGCCAACCTCTCTGGAGCTGTCCTTGGGACAAAACCTCTCCTCAGCACCACATTCTCCTGTTGTTCCCTGGGCTCATATGATAAACCAACACCTGGCTCTTCATGTCCCTCAGCTCGTTGATGTCCATTGTGGCTGTTGGATGGAGGGGGTTTACTACTGCTGTTGAGGGGCATGGCACTAGGAGGAGGAGTTGTTCTTCCCCCTTCAGCTTCTTCACTTTTCCCTTCCATTCTATCATTTATGTGAGAGCATAAGTGTTGTGTTTGTGAGTTATGAGGCTTTGTCTCCATGCTGTGGTTGATAAAATCTTGGTGTTTCCTGGGTATTTGGAAGAAAAAGAATGAATGAGAATTAGGACAGCACTGGATCTGACACCAAAAGATCAAGCAGAGTACGGCACCAAAGAATCAAGAGTCACTGTATTACCCCACTGCTCCAGGGCCTTATCCTGGTAGGACATGCCTGGAATAGCTCACCTAGGAAGCGTCCAGGAGGAATCCTAGTCTGATGCCCAACTACCTCAACTGGCACAGAAGCAGAAGTAGAGGAGCAGCTGTTCTACACTGTGTCCCTCTTGAATAACCAAGCTCTTCACCCTATCTCTAAGGGATGGCCTAGCTACTCTTCTAAAGAAATTTATGCCACTTGTGTCCACAACCTGATTGTTTCATCCACTAATGAGAGCTTGTGACCATAGGGTGAGAATAGGAACACAGATTGCCTGGTAAAAATACATCCTCGCTTTTATTCTCAGCTCTCTCATTGCCACAACAGAGCTCATGTGTTGTATTATTTCATGTTGACAGATGACGTGAGGGAGTGTTCCATTCTCCCCTCAGTTGGGAACAAATACGTGAGATACTTCAGCTCCACTGCTTGGGGGGTATAACTCGGCCCTGATCTGCAGTCGGTGCTCTGCCCTTTCAGACTTGGAGGTGTTAATTATTATTCCCACCGTTTCACACTCGGCCACAAAAAGCTCCAGTGCAAACTGGTGGTCACCACCTGATGAAGCCTGAAGGCTATCACTTAGCTATGTCTAGATATTTTTTCACAGCCAGGTTCCACCATCACCCATTGCTGGCTGACTTCTGGCATGGTAAGTGGTATGTCATAGAGATATGGGTTTTGGGTCACTGTTTATGTGATGGCATGCCACATCTGGCCAGATTGTGGCTTGGTTTATGTGGCCCAGGCTCATAGGAAACAGGACTGGCCTGGATCCGGCATCAAGTTGGCACTTCTGACTGACTGGTGTCATGGCAGGGTGTATGTCAGCCAGATGTGGGCCAGGTCTGGCAATGATGGCACTATTTATGTTCCTATTTTCCTATTTTAGTTAGAAGACCCAAATGCTATGTTGCAGTACTATACTGCTATGGTAGCCAACTTCTCAAATGCAGGTTTGACAGGTTTATGAGTGTACACTTTATCCAAAACCTAGTGAGGGTTTACTCAGGTTTAGCACTGGGTGGCTGTAGCTCAGGAGGTAGAGCAGGTCACCTACTGATCAAAAGGTTAGTGGTTTGATCTCTGGCTCTTCCAGTCTGTATGTCAAGAATGTGAATGTGTATGAATGTAGTTAGGAGTAATCTGGGAGAGTAGAAAAGCACTATATACAGTGGGGCAAAAAAGTATTTAGTCAGCCACCGATTGTGCTAAAATGATGACAGAGGTCAGTAATTTGCAACAGAGGTACACTTCAACTGTGAGAGACAGAATGTGAAAAAAAAATCCATGAATCCACATGGTAGGATTTGTAAAGAATTTATTCGTAAATCAGGGTGGAAAATAAGTATTTGGTCACCTCAAACAAGGAAAATCTCTGGCTCTCACAGACCTGTAACGTCTTCTGTAAGAAGCTTTTCTGTCCCCCACTCGTTACCTGTATGAATGGCACCTGTTTGAACTCATCATCTGTATAAAAGACACCTGTCCACAGCCTCAAACAGTCAGACTCCAAACTCCACCATGGCCAAGACCAAAGAGGTTTCGAAGGACACCAGGAAAAGTATTGTAGACCTGCACCAGACTGGGAAGAGTGAATCTACAATAGGCAAGCAGCTTGGTGTGAAAAAATCAACTGTGGGAGCAATCATCAGAAAATGGAAGACATACAAGACCACTGATAATCTCCCTCGATCTGGGGCTCCACGCAAGATCTCATCCCGTGGGGTCAAAATGATCATGAGAACGGTGAGCAAAGATCCCAGGACCACACGGGGGGACCTGGTGAATGACCTGCAGAGAGCTGGGACCAAAGTAACAAAGGTCACCATCAGTAACACACTACAACGGCAGGGAATCAAATCCCGCAGTGCCAGACGTGTTCCGCTGCTGAAGCCAGTGCATGTCCAGGCCCGTCTGAAGTTTGCCAGAGAGCACATGGATGATACAGCAGAGGATTGGGAGAATGTCATGTGGTCAGATGAAACCAAAGTAGAACTTTTTGGTATAAACTCAACTCGTCGTGTTTGGAGGAAGAAGAATACTGAGTTGCATCCCAAGAACACCATACCTACTGTGAAGCATGGGGGTGGAAACATCATGCTATGGGGCTGTTTTTCTGCCAAGGGGACAGGACGACTGATCCGTGTTAAGGACAGAATGAATGGGGCCATGTAACGTGAGATTTTGAGCCAAAACCTCCTTCCATCAGTGAGAACTTTGAAGATGAAACGAGGCTGGGTCTTCCAACATGACAATGATCCAAAACACACCGCCCGGGCAACAAAGGAGTGGCTCCGTAAGAAGCATTTGAAAGTCCTGGAGTGGCCTAGCCAGTCTCCAGACCTCAACCCCATAGAAAATCTGTGGCGGGAGTTGAAAGTCCGTGTTGCTCGGCGACAGCCCCAAAACATCACTGCTCTCGAGAAGATCTGCATGGAGGAATGGGCCAAAATACCAGCTACTGTGTGTGCAAACCTGGTAAAGACCTATAGTAAACGTTTGACCTCTGTTATTGCCAACAAAGGTTATGTTACAAAGTATTGAGTTGTATTTTTGTTATTGACCAAATACTTATTTTCCACCCTGATTTACGAATAAATTCTTTACAAATCCTACCATGTGGATTCATGGATTTTTCTTTTTCACATTCTGTCTCTCACAGTTGAAGTGTACCTCTGGTGCAAATTACTGACCTCTGTCATCATTTTAGGTGGGGGAACTTGCACAATCGGTGGCTGACTAAATACTTTTTTGCCCCACTGTAACTAGGGATGGGTACCGGTATCCGGTGCCATGATGGCACCGGTTCTGACATAAACGGTAGTAACCAGACCGAAAAGCAGCGCACATTTCGGTGCTTCATTTTGGTGCTTTTTTTTCCCTGAGATGTGATACACTTTAGATTCTAGCATTTTACGTTTCCGAGGATAGTAGGCGGGCCCAGGCACATACGTTCTTTAAGAGCAGAGCTACATATTAAAAAGGCCCAAGGCAAAACGGCCAAAAGTCTGGCTGTACTTCACAGCAAAAAATGCAAACTCAGCAGCCTGCAAAAAGTGCTTTAAGGTGATACTGTGATACTGTGCAAAGGAGGTAACACTTCAAATCCGATGAAACACCTGGCGACGCATAGCGTTTTTTTAAAAGCCGAGAAATGCACCGTTTAAGCACCGGCACCGTTTCAAAAGTACTGGTTTGGTACTGGTATCGGACAAAATCTAAACGATACCCATCCCTATATATAACAATCAGTCCATTCACTGTCTGAACAGAATTTCTTCATGTTAATTTTGCACTATTATGTTCCAGCACATGTTGTTATTACATGGCTTGTTTAAGGCACAAATTAAGCTGACATCTGGGGCCAGAGCCGAAACTGTTCTGGGCCAGCACAGGACCAGCAGTGTGTCTGCAGCTGGCCTTGTGCTGGCCCATCTGTGGGCCACCTCTGGCAAACCTGATCTGGGCCACCAAAGGGCCGTCATTCTTTGCAGTATGTGGGCCATGTGTAAGCACATTGTGTGGGCCAGATGTTGACCATACCAATTTTGGTATATGGGGTGTTATTCATTTACACATCAGAAGTCTTCTTCCTAAATTTGATTTCATCATTTCCATTTCAAAATTTGGATGAAAGCATTAGATATGGATATCCTTATATGATTCGAAACTGTCATGGTCCTGTGGCCATGACTCAGTGACTTTGTGTTTATGTTCTTTATTGTTATTACTTTCATTATTATTCGTGGCTGTTTTGGGATGGTTTGTGTTTGGGATTTTAGATACTGGGTTCTGGGTTTGTGC